GGTACAGAAACGAGAGAATCATAATCCTAAGTGATAGCCAGGCAGCACTCAAGGCCCTCATATTCTATGAGGTCAAATCGTCGCTGGTCCTGGAATGCATTGAGAAGCTTAACTCCATCGGTAGACACAATAACATCAAGTTACCGTGGGTGCCTGGTCACAAGGGAGTAGAGGGTAACGAGGCGGCTGACTGTCTCCCAAGAGAGGCGGCAGCCACTACTCCATTTGGCCCTGAGCCCTTCCTTGGAGTGTGTCCCTACACTCTAAACAAGAGAAGTTTAGGATAGACAAGATCACTATGAGGGATCTAAGCTGGCAAAATTCGTCAGGAATGCGTCAGGCAAAGAGTTTACTGGGAGGTTATAACAGAAGGAGATTACAAAGTATAACTGACCTACCAAACGGGCTTCTTAGAATAATAACAGGTATCCTCATAGGACACTGCAGGCTGAGAGGGCGTCTACAAGACCTGGGGATATGGTCGAGTGACCTTTGTCGGTTTTGTAACTCTACCAGCGAGACACCTCTACATATCCTCACCGAATGTGATATATTCTGCAGAATACGTGAGAAAAGTTTAGGCTCAATGTCCCCTAAGGTACGGTTAAATTTTCTCAGGGATTTAGGTCTAGAGGAGGCATTGTGAAGAGTAGAGGGCACAATAGACCACAAGGTCACGGTGCAAACCTCATTTGGATTATCCACCTATCTATCTATATACACATTCGCATACACATACATTATCATCCTTTTTGTTTGCTTTTGATTGGTCGAACGTGTTTACTTTTTTTCTATTTTGACATTCTAGGTTTCACCAGCAACAACAAAATACATGGCAGGGTTGTGTTTGCTTTACTGCTATTACCTGTTCGGGTCATTGCGCATACTTACAAGTGAAAAAAGAATCAGATGTTTTGCAGAAATGCCTCGCAGCTGAGATCACCTGATTTTATTTGCTGCAGGGTTACAGTCCATATCCACAAAGAAAAACTTTAAACAGACTCTGACAAAAACAGCAAACAAGTCATATTAAGTGTAGAAGTTATTGACCAAAGCGCTATAAATTATTAAAATAACATTAAATGCAGGAATTAATTTAATCCAATGCATATTTTACCATTTCTTTTAAATTTATATAAATAACTTTTGTCATTGTTACGTCACTTTAAATACCCTGGCAGGATATTTATACATTTTGACAGGTACTTTCCAGGTAACTTCCAGGCAGAAGAAGAACATTTGTCGCTCATGAACCAAAAATACAAGATCACGCCAGCAAGCCAGTAGCCCGTTATAATCGCATTTAGGAAAAAAGTTGGGCGATTTTTACATCAGCCGTTTGTTTACATTTGTTCGTTGCTTACAATTTGGTGGTGGCTTTTTACTGGAATTTTCCTAATTTTCGCTTGTGACAACGTGTGTACACATAAAGCTACACAGCTAGAAAATTACTTTTTTCTTTCTTTCGTTCGCGCGTGATCTTGTGTCTTTCGTTCATGTTTGTCACTTGTGAGTATGCACAATGGTTCGGGTACGGAAAAGGAAGTATTGGTGTTGCCATCAAATCTTCAATTTCACCAAATTCACCACCTTGAAATATTAGAATTTTTCTCTCCTAATGCAACCCTGAAAATGACTGTGAACTCACACCCGAGAAGAGCAAGAGACTAAGAAGACGAAATTTTGTAAAGCTGCTTGCGCTAACTTAATTATTTTGTAAAAAAAAACAGAATTTAACAGAATTAAATAAATAGTTAGACTGCTGAAAAAGTCGAATTCTTTTGTTTTCTCCGCCTTCAACAAATCTTTAAAAAATTTCTGGCGTCTCGGTAAATATCACTTGGAATCGCGATCACCGTCGTAAAGAAAACGGTGGCGATAGCGTTCGCAAGGATAAATATCGAGTTAAATCTAAAGCTGATGCTTCCGAGAGAACCAAATTTCTGGTGCACTGGCAAATTTCCACGCACACGGCACATATTTATACAAGCACTTCGGCAAATATTACACACCTCGTAGTTTTGTCACAAGGCATGTGCGTTTGCGATATCTGCGGAAAAAAAGTCGGACAAAGAAAGAGTCGAAGATAGGGTGCAGTGCGACGATTGCGAACTGCGGTTCCATTTCGAGTGTGTTGGCGTTGACGAGAGCGTGCAATATTGTAAAGGCCGGTCCACATAGAACTTTCGCGTTGGCTTTGGCGTTGGCGTTGGTTTGACAGAACGCACGTTAAAAGTATGCTTGCTACAATGAACGCTTGGCAGCGAATCCTTGGGCCACTAAATTAACATATTAACGACAGATAAATTAATATTTCACATCAATAATTGTATTAAAAATGATATTTCTTGCCCGCACTTGATTAAAAAGGAAAAATATTTCATATAATTTTATTTATTTGCATGGTGATCTTTTTGCTTTGTGTTAGCGTGAGCGTTGTCAAATTTTGGCTATGTGGACGGCTGCATTTGAATTCATGTATTCATAGTCAGCTGTTGAAGCGATGCCAACGCCAACGCAACGCCAAAGTTCTATGTGGACGGGCCTTAACTGGAGTTGTGCTTCCCGTATGAAATAGACTTCTAGTGTAGGGGCACTACACCTGCGAACATACAATGCAGCAATCAACTACATCAACGGCCTCCACACCTGAACAGAGAGTGATGGAATCGGCTAGCTCAGCAATTGGCACCACTCAATCGGTGAATCAACCGAATCACACCGATTCTCAACGGAACGCAGACGCACAAAAAATAAATGAAATTACCACAACGCAAACTGGTTCCAGCGAAGGTAGTTATCGACAACAGCTTATGATGGCCATGCTCGAGGAAAAGAGAGCAGCAGAAGAACGCTTTATCGAGCAGAAGTACCAGCTTCTCGTGCAGATGAACTCTTCAGGCACTCCGACGTCAGATATGTTGCCAACTCTGCAAGTAGCAGCGAGCACTGGCCCGACAAGTTCACAAATAGCGGCTAGACAAGCAATACCAAAGCAGTTGCCTACGTTCAGCGGCGACCCCGATGGCCAATGTTCATCAGCACGTTCGATCACAGCACTACAGTGGCGGGATTTTCGCATGTCGAAAATATGCTACGGCTACAGCGATGTCTTAAGGGTAAGGCGCGGGAATTGGTGAAGGATAAGCTGCTCTTGCCCACGATGGTCCCCGATGTCATCAGTACTTTAAAAATGTTCTTCGGTAGGCCGTACGCAACATATCTGCAACGATGGAGACGTGTAAGCTTGAAGCACACCTGAACAACCCGATGTTGGTGAAGGAGTTAGTTGACAAGTTGCCCAATCAGCACAAGCTCAGCTGGGCGATGCATCCCGTGAAGACCGTTCTCCATCTATTAAAGTATTTAGCGACTGGCTATATCGGTTAGCTGAAGCAGCATCAACGGTAGTATCACCGGCAGTCATGTACAAGGCGAGTTCTGTCAATGCGCACGATCGCGATCGAGAAGGGGCGGGAGGTTTATAAATCAGATAACCTGTCCCAACCGCAGCCGCGACAGTCTACAATGAAATGCATCGCATGCGGAGGGACCGACTATAGTGCAGCGCAATACGAAAAGTTTCAGAACCTGTCCAGCAGCCAGAGGTGGAATATGGTCCAAAGAGACAAAGCTTGCTATAGGTGCCTCAAAACCGATCGCAGGGCGTGTTTTTTAAAAAAGAATTGCGGCGTGAATGCTGTACGCAAAGACATCACCCACTACTCCACAGCGAATGCGTTGAAAGTCCGATGAAGATGGAAAATGATCAAGCGGTAGTAAGTACGCATCGCAGTGATAACGCAAGTCATTACTTTCGTTTCATACCGGTGAATCTCCACCCGGGAGGCGTAACAGTTCAAGAATAAGCGTTCTTGGACGAAGGATCCTCTGTCACACACATAGACGAGTCAGCGTTCAAACAACTGGGTATCAAGGGTGTGTCATCACCGCTATGTTTGCAATGGACTAGTGAAACTACGCGTAACGAGAGTACGTCATTACAGACATCAATTCAGATTTCAGCACCAAATAGCGGAAAGTTATATCGGCTCAACAACGTTCATACGGTACAAAACCTCGCGCTGCCTAAGTAGTCGATAAACGCAGACGAAGTTCGAAGTTGAGAGATATACCACTGCACTCATATAGCGCTGTTCAACCAACGTTACTTATCGGAGCGGACAATTGGAAAATCGCTGTACCTCGAAAGATAAGAGAAGGTAGGCGACGCGAACCAATTGCGTCCAAGTGTTTGTTGGGATGGAGTATACAAGGCACCTCGGATGAGACGACACATATAACAATGCATCACTGTACTTGCAAGTGGCAAGAGCTTCACGACATCGTGAAGGACAACTTTAATCTAGACGCAGTAAAGTCGCAAAACTTACGTAGGCGGACGTTTTGAAGTAGGTCTTTTGTGGCGCAGCGATGAAAACGCGCTACCCGGGAGCTACACGAATGCGTACAGTCTACTCAACTGCTTGAAAAATAAAATTAAACGCGATCCTACTTTGTACGAAAAAAATAGATGATCAAACAAATAACCTACTACGAAAAGGGTATCCAATTTAGCTGTCGGAAACCGAGATGGCGATCGAAAATAAATGTACGTGGTATTTGCCGATTTTCTTGGCACTAAATCCCAACAAACCTAATAAAATAAGGCTTGTTTGGGACGCGGCCGCTAAAGCGCATGGTAAATCACTCAACGCTTTTCTACTCACTGCGCCAGACTTGCTTAACCCACTTGTCGAAATACTTTTGGCGTTCAGAGTTGGTCAGGTAGCGGTGTGCGGCGACATCGCTGAGATGTTTCATAGGATAAGCATACGAAAGGAGGATATGCACGCTCAGCGATTCCTATGGTACGATAAAGTTAGCGGTCAGACCAAAGTCTACGCCATGTGCGCCATGACCTTTGGCATAAGCTGCAGTCCATGTATCGCTCACTATGTTCGAAAAAAAAAAATGCAGAAGAACATTAACAGCAGCATCTACGAGCATTCGGAGCTATCCAAAAGGAGCATTACGTTGACGACTATATCGATAGCGTAGACAGCGAGGAAGCTGCCTTCGAAGTAGCAGACCTTGTTCGCAAGGTTCATCGAGCCGGCGGTTTCGAAATTCATAATTGGGCGTCGAATTCCCCAAATGTCCTACAAAGCAGTTTGGGGACACGGGGAAAGTACTAGGTATGTACTGGGAACTGCACACCGACGTTTTTAAGTATGTCTTCAGGTTCACTGGGCTACGACGACCAGTGTTAGTAGAAGATCTCATCCCAACCAAGCGAGAGGTTTTGCAAGTGCTGATGTCGATTTTCGACTCACTGGGGTTGTTGGCATGCTACACGGTCGGCCTCAAAATACTTTTACTACGAGTCTGGCGAGTCAACATTGGGTGAAACGAAGAGCTGCTATAGGCAGCTGTTGCCTGAAATTTCGAGATGCTACTCACGTAACTTGGCTGCGGCAACTTACGTAGAGATGCACACATTCGTCGATGCTAGCGAATATACGTATGCAGTAGTGTGCTATTTGCGGGTGCTTCGAGGTGGCGCGGTCAACGTGTCGTTAGCGGCAGCTAAAAGTAAACTAACTTGAATGTAGCTGACGTAGCGACTAAAGTAATTAGTGCGGTAGAAAGCAAGCAGTGGTTGCAAGGACCCGAATTCCTGTTCACGCCGAGTAGTATGTGGCCAGACCCACCCAAACATGTGCATGTAACGCAGAAAAATCCGGCAACCAGGGTAAATGTAAAGTACTTCTCTAATTGGCGTCGGCTCTATAGGGCGACGGCGACGTTTTATTTGTACGTTGCTCGGTTAAAAGCCAAGCGACAAGGCTATAATAAACCAAGCGAAGTTACACCAGAGATGATTGGCAAGGCCGAGAATCTGCTATACAAACAAGCGCAGGTAAGGGCATTCTCTTCAGAGATTAACACATTACATTCAGGGCAACCACTCCGAAAGCAAAGCAAACTATCCGCGCTAAACGTCTACCTGGATAGCAATGGGATATTGCGGATGCAGGGAGAGCTGCTTCCATTAACTGCCGAATGGATGCCATTGTTATGCCGAGGGAAGACCATACGACGCTTTTGATAGTGAGAGCTTATCATGAAAATAACCACCATCTATCACATGAGACCGTTATCATGTCCAAAGTTCATACTATATTGCACGTTTACGCATACTATATTAGTCAGTGCGACATGCCTGCCAAAGATGCAAAATCGACTATGCCAGCTACACGAAACCATTTTCATTTACAGGTGTAGACTACTTCGGGCCGATCCTTGTAAACGTCGGTAGGCACAAAGAAAAGAGATGGGTCGCACTCTTTACTTGTTTGACTTCCTCGAGATGTACACTTTGAAATCGCGTATAGTCTCGACACCAGCTCATGCATCATATGTCTTCGCAACTTCATGGCAAGGCGTGGTACTCCATCAGAAATCTA